CAATGATCATCTCTTCCAAAACTTGCAAATCAACATTATTTTGGCTACTGCAGTGATTAGTACATCTTGTTTAAAAACGATTGTTTCCTGACAACTTTCCCTATGACCACTCCATAGTATGTTTTCTCTCTTCTTTGACATTTACACATTGACAAGGGGTCTGTGGTTCTCTGGGGTTTCCCACTTAGTTACAGGACTGAAAAAAACTAACGTACCTAATGAGTTATTATGAGAATTTCGTGTTATGAAGTTATAAAATATAAGGAATCCTGTTACTACCAGGTATCAAAGTTTTGCATTTTTAGCATTTATTCATTGCAGTGAAATGCCTTCTGTTATGTCTGGAGTTTCTACTTAATTTCTGATATTTTCTGATACTTAATTTTATTGATATTTAGTGCCTTCAGTATTTATACTTTTCTTACATAACCGTAATTCAACTAGTTCTATCTTCAGATCCAAGATTACTTTCTCGGCATGGTTCTAATAAATGGGTGTTAAAAATGTCTCAGCAAAAGCACAAACTATTGAATTTTGTGGAAAGGAGTGATGGTATAAAACATTCAACTATCTGCACTTTGGGCAAAATATAAAAAAAGCAGTATAAAAGAAAAAGGAAGGGAAAGACCCCACACTAAGTGTACAATTTGTAATTGTCCACTAGGGGGAGTTACTTTAATGATAATAAAAGTTGCCAAAATGAAAGATTTCCATAAAGTGTCTGTAGGTGTGATTGCTTTCTTCTTATGTGGGCGCCAGTTCTGGACTTTATCCTTGAGCTTCTTTTCCCGAATGCTAGCACTCTACCATTTGAGCTTCGGTGCCACTTCTAGCTTCTTCTGAGTAGTTTATTGGAGATAAATATCTCATGGACTTTCCTCCCCAGGCTGGCTTTGCACTGCAATCCTCATTTCTCAGCCTCCTGAGTAGCTACGATTACAGGTGTGAGCAGCCAGCATCTGGAGTAATTCCTTTTTAAAATAGAGGATTTTAATGTTAAGGTTTATAATAAAGTGTGATGGAAAATTGTTTTATAAAAATCTCTTCACTTTGGGGCTGGGAAGGTGGCTCAGTGGTAGAGCGCTTGCCTTGCATGCCTGAGGTCCTGGCTGGAAATGGTGCTATGGTTCAAGTGGTGCTGTGGCTAGCCTTGAGCTAAAGA